CAAGCAGCGGCCTGGAGCTGGCCTTTGGCCCCAACCCCGGCTCGGGCCCCCTATGCCCCCCCACCAGCACCCCTTCCCCTCAGCCTGCCCCCCTGGTGTGGTATCCCCACCCGTTTGCCCCGCTGGGCCTGAAGCCTCACGCTGAGCTCCAGCCTGCGCCCTGCGCCCTGCGCCCTGGTGCCAGCCCCGCTCCCGAGGCTTAGGGATTGTTCCCTGTACCCCTCACCGTGATGGACCCAAATCTGAACCTGTGATGCTGCCACCCGCCCCTCCCCCGGCTTTAAAAAGTGCCTCTCATGGGACCCCACGCCCACCCCCAGATTAGGCCCCTCAGAGACAGGAGCTAACCGGGGGGAGGAAGAAGGCTGGTGGCCCCCTGTGCACACGGAGGGCTGGGCTGGGGCCGAGTCAGTCCTCAGCTCGGGTTCTTACTCATCCTTCGTTCGTTTCTTCTCTCGTCAGATGCCAAAAACTTGGTATTTCTTATGCTGCAGTCTATACAGGCTAAGAAGGTCACCTTTGAATGCCAGGTAAACAAACGAGGGACTCTCAGCCTCTTCGGGGTGTTCGTCAGTGCGTCTAGTCTGGGAAATCTTACGTCCATGGCCCCGACCGCCAGCAACTCCCTCAGGCCTCGTCTGCGTGATTAACTTCGGATCAATTAAGGGGTGTCAGATTAAGCACGTCTAAAGCTCACTCGCCTCCTCCTCGCCTCCCGCCTCGGCAACTGCCCGTAAGCTGGCCCTTCCCCTCTGCCCGCTCTCTGCCAGTCTAGCCGCATCCTCCTGCCTCACGGCAGTCATGACGGTGACAATTTCCTCTGTCCCTGGCCACATCGGTTGGTAAGTCTGTCCTTCGCTCAGCTTCGACTCTTCTCTATGCCCCCGTCACTCCCTTACATCGGCTTTCTCTTCCTGCTACCACGTAATAGTTACGAAGTGCTGCCTGCATGTCAGAAGTTGGGTCAAGCGCTATTCGTGTGGTATCTTAATGAATTCTCTCCAAAAAACCAGTAAAGTCGGTATTATTCTCATACCCGTTTTATAGATGAAGAAACTGGTTCTCAGAGAACGTATGTATCTTCCCAACATCTCAGAGTTCGCAGATGACAGTCAGCTGTGAGCCCAGGCTGACCGGCTCCGAAGCTCTGTAACCATCACAGCACACGGGTCCCCGTCACCACCTGGTTTTATAGCAGCCTCCCCAGTGGGCCCCTTGCGTCCGTGGGCTCACTCACATGAGTGAGCACGTGCTGGCACGAGGGGACAGCTGGGGCTCTGAGTCCAGGCACTGGTGACGCCATAGGGGACTGCCGTTTCAAAGCTCTGACAGAGAAATTTACAGAGGTGGAGAAAGAATCTGTGTTTCTTCCTGCAAACTAAAGAATTCCAGAAAATGAGAGAGACCGCTTTGGGAAGACAAAAAAGAAGCGGAGTGAGGTGAGGGGTCATACTCTCTAGAACACGTGTGGAAAAATTAGGATTTACGACCAAAGAAGCACCAGACGGCACGTCGAAGATTACAGGTGTTTTTCTTCATCCGCAAAGGAGGGAGTTGTCACTGGGACCACCAGTCCTTTCCGTTCTGATCTTGACCCCTCGTATGCCTGAAAACTGCCCCCGACCAATTCAAGTTCAATCAAAA